AGAGTTCTGCAAGACTGTACAGTAGCCTTCTTATAGTTAGATGGCAGTTGCTTCCAAGGTGAAGTGCAAGAACGATACAACAAAGATGGTTATCTGGTCCCCGTAACTTTTCTTTTGTGGAGAGAACTGCTTCTATGGCCTCCTCAAACAGTGTTTTTTCCTCATCAGTGAGGTGCCTGGGGAGTTCCTTTAGGATGTTATTTATGTGTTCCTTGAGATCATGGAGGAGTTTTGCTGCCACAACTTCAGACTGGGTCAATTTAAGCTCTTTCATTGAAGCATTCTGATTTGGAAAACACAATGCGGGGACCCATTAAATACCCTTTAACTCCTCCCTTAATTGACTCAGCAAGGCTGGTTTCAATAAACCATCTGTTTGGAGATTTCAGCCCTTGTACTCTGTGATCAGGTCATATGTCACTGATTAACACATTGTGCGAAGAGGTGATCTTTCTTTGTGGTGAGGTGTTGGATGTCTTCAAGGTGGGTGTCGTTGTATAACAGCTGATCCTCAATGGTGTCTCCACTCCTTGCCATGAGGTAAATTTGTGGCTTTTCCACCATTTCTTGGACATCCTTGTCCCCAAGCTCTTAAGATGTGTGATAGAATGCCGGATCATAAATAGTATTAACTGTCAACAGGATATGACCATGATTCATGACACATGAGTGGTCAGACCAGATCATTAGGTGTTGGGATCGCTTCCAGTGTTTTAGTGAGCTAACTAGTTCCTCCCTTGTCGTCCCACTATCAGGCTTGTCTTTAAACTCTCCAATTTCCTTCAAGCGAATTTCCAGCTCCTCATATGTGATAGCCTCATTATGAGCTTCTGAGTGGTCTCTTACCAAGCCCAGTTGCTCATGATTATCCAAAAGATTCTTCCTTATTTCTACTAAAGGTATCTTTCTGTCACTGCCTGTGAAACATTCTTTGTTAAGAGTACAATTAGCATCCAGTGTCAGCTTCTGGTAGGATTTTGGAGCAATAATCTGGCCCAAGCAGTATTCTCCATTTTCAATTTGTTTTCGTGAGGTTTCCCTTATGGCTGCACTTGTGCAAGACACTGGTGTTGTGATCTCCCCTCAAAGCTTTTCTGAAGCCACATTCTTGGAAGTGGATCATTCTTACACCTAACGGTTCCTGGCCATTTTGTCTCGTCAACAACGTACTTTCTCCACCCCAGTTCTTTTTTCTTTTCTCCTCCGATGACATGTCTCTTTCTTACCGAGGATTTCAGTAATTTTTCGACCGTTCTTAAGAACTGGTCTTTCCGCTCTTCAATGTCTGTCTCTGCTGCATCCTCTGCCATCGTTCCAACATCTTCCCCACTACCCTCCGCCTGGCATGGTATAGTCAATCGAGCACGTTTTGCGGAACTCTCGCTCTCTATTTCATCGAATGCTAAATTGTAGGTCCGCTTGATTTGCCCTCCCCTCGCTACAGTGGACATCATCAGTGTGTCTTGACCACGATGTGACATCACAGAATTTGAGCCTTGTTAAGTTGTAAAGCGTTGATCTATAAAATTAGTAAAACAAAGACTATACATACAGGTAAATATTTGTTAAGTGTTTTTCTAATTCTCTTTGAATTTTTTCTGAAGCTCCCTTCCTTGCAGCTACTTTTCAATCGATCGATTGTCATTGTTCCATAATTCTGCAACAATGCTGGCAAATAAGGCCTCCAAATGTTAAACTATGTCCGTAGAAATAACACCATTCAGCGCACAGACAAGTAGACAAACATTTAAGTTGTGACATTACTTGCCTAAATTTCCGTCTGTGTTCTTCTTTAAGCAGATCTCGTGTGAGTGGGTGTTTTTCATTAAGCCTCTTTGCTTCTTCAATCGGCTTGGCGATTGCTCTAAGGGTGATGGCTTGAAGTGGCTTCATAGTTAAGGACAGCAAAATCAGCAGAAGAAGAGTGACAGTCCAAAGCGATTGTAGTACTATTGATTGTTGTTAGTGACGTTAAATCTACGTCAATGTTATTGTCCTCCATGAATAAATAATTCACAATATCACTCAAATCATTTTATTAACAAACCTTTTACATTTGGGACATTTGAAAAGTCAGATAACTTTTCACCCATTTTTCTTGCTGTACGATAATTATACCTTACATCACTCATATAAAAAGACAACAAAAACTGACCGTGAAAAAGACTCGAAACTTTTTGAAAATATGAAAACGAGAGTGAGCTAACCAGTTCCTCCCTTGTCATCCCACTATCAGGCTTCTCTTTAAACTCTCCAATTTCCTTTAAGCGAATTTCCAGCGCCTCATTTGTCAGAGCCTTATAATGAGCTTCTGAGTGAAGTAGCATGTGGTCCTGTCCCTAGTACTCAGGCTCCTACTATTATAAGACCCTAAAAGAATTGTATGCTGTTACGTGTGATTCCTTCTTGTGAGTCTCCTTTCCAAGCTAAGCACGGCAAGCAAAATTTTGAGCTCAGTACCTCGTCAAGCGTAGATCTATAAAATTAATAAAAAATTATT